TCGCACTCCCCCGAAGGAGCTATACTGCGAGTCATGGAATTGGAGAGTGATGCGTCAGCTCGGTGTAAGGCTCATTTTCTAACTGCGTTTTAAAATTGCTAGACGTATGAGACGTGAGTGAGTGAATATTACCGTCGCATTATTCAGTGATACGAGGGTTTTTGGTAACAGACTTCGTAATTTTGAACCAAGATTATATGACAAGGACGATACCTGAGCAGGAACCCCCCCCCCGTCTCCTAACTTCCACACCACACAAACGGGAGGATGTTTGAGTCTCGAAATATTTAACATGCATCGGCCCCTGTGCACGGCGGGTTATCAGCGGTTCCAGGCTCGAACTCAAGACGACGTATGAGACGTAGAATGACAGAAAAAGTAAGAAACAGAAAACGTTCGATATTCACACAATTACTCTCTGCACGGCAATACTGGTACGACATTGAAAATAATAAAGTCATCTTTGATACAAGTAGAATTAAGTCCGAGACCCTAAGGTCGCGACTTTTCTACTAGGCTTCCGTCGTTCTATGATAAAGGCATGGGGAGAGGGGGATACACAGTCAAAGGGCAAACCCTTTGGCGAGTAACGGCTCAATTTCCCTGCTCCTCCCCGGGGCTTTTAAATTTCAATAAGAGAGCAAGCAAAGAAAGGCGAGATTAGCGTCGACCGCGGATAATCTGGCCGCCTCCCAAAGCAGCTGACACGATTCACTCCGGATCGGCTACAGCCACGAACATTCGTTCCTACTTTATTCGATACCCATCTCCCCCCCCCCCTCTCTCGCGACAGAAATCAAACCGAAAAGAGATTTCGGAACAAAAAACGAGAGGGGGGTGGGGGGAGTTTCACTAGGTATTAAGTTCCCCTTGTGTATAGATTAACAAATTCACTCGCTAAAGAAACTCATGCTTTTTTTTTTTTGCGTGATGAGTGATTTTGAGAAATTAGTTCCAGAGATGAAGCTTCAGTGTGATGTATATATATTTTCTCGAGTTCTTTTTTTACATAATTTGTTTCAAGGGATTCAATTCTGAAAATGGTCTCGATTTGTTATTATCAGTCCTACTTTTATACATGTTTGCTTCCTTGTTTATTATCCCTTTATGCTTTATCTGATACTTTTTTCGGTTATAGATGATGGTTTTGTTTTTTTAAAAATTTTTTGAAGGTAAAGCGATACAGTATTATTTTATATATTTCCTATTTTTATGTGTTTCAAAATCGAAAATTAAGCTATTTATCCCAAAAATTATATCTATCGCAGAGAAGCATCACACAGTATATAAAACGCGTACCCAGGTTTATTCATAATTTCCTCCTGAGTTTAGAAGCACTCTAGTAAGAAAACTAAGAAGACTGTAGCAAAAAAGAACATCTGAAAGTATACAGAAACAATTTAAGTTTTATGGACGCCCTTCCATGCAGTTCTGCTACATCACGCGTCCAAAGGGGTCTTACGTAAAAGAGCGAATTTTCAGATTACACACGGAAAGGACAACGCGTGCTGTTAGGAACGGTAACCTATTGAGTAGAATGGGGCAGGAATTGGACTACCGCATTGACTTATGCCGTGTAACCAAGGCTTCACTCACAGAACACCTGTATAGAATGTCATTAAAACTTGAAATGTTTCTTTCTGTAGGCTTCCAAATGTTGCTTTTTGCTGTATTCATCGGACCCTACGGTGCTTCGAAACTTGGGAGGAAATTATGAATAACCCTGTATAAACCTTAAACATGAGGTTTTTTATATTTTTTATGGAAGTTGAATTTTGACTGTTTTTTTTTTTAAATATATTTTACTCTTCACTTTTGAAACTGATAATTAAACATTGTTAACGATTGAGATGTTTTAAATCGAACAAAAAAATTCTCCCCAGTTATGACATATCTGATACATAGAGAGCTGTACGAATATTTTCCGTATTAAACTGAATACATTTCGAATAAAATTTATAATTGAAGTTAAACATTGATTAATTTGAAAATTTTCACCATTTTCCAGAATCGACACCCGATTGTTACATTTCAAATATTCTAAACAGACAAGAAATCTCGGTAGCTCGGTGAAGTGAAACAGATAACACAGAAGTTTGTCAATAATCGGACACTGTACCCCCTCTGAATCACGCGCAGGTGTCCTTCCATGACGAAGCGTGCCTTCTACCTGTGTTTCGGTCACAGTTAAAGACTTCGACACGCGACCATGTACGTGCAGGAGTCAGGGAAAACAAACCGCGCCACTGGGGAAGGCAGTAAAAGCTGGAAGAGAATGCATGCTCACGACAAACAAGTCAAACCCGAGAGAGAGAATCATAATTTGTAATTACATTTTTACTTACTTTTTTTTTATTGCGCTGCTTGAGAAAATGTGATACATTATTAAAAAAAATATATCCGATTACATTATAGAGGATTTATAACATTTTTTTGGCAATTGATAATACGTCTAAAATTCAATATGGTTCTTAATATTATAAACAACCTAAGCAGTCTAGAGTTTGGTAAGATGGTTCCTCCTGTATCCTCAGCGACAAAAGGGTTCCCTTTTAAGTAGAGCAAGCACCATGAAAGTTGATGCGTTTTTCTCATCTGATCATGCCCCCAAATAGTAGGTTGCTACTGAGCGGTTAAACATTTTTCTTCTGAGGGTTGCTTTGAAAGTCAATTTACGCACCTACTCTCAAAACAATTCTCCTTCTGTTAGATTATAAAATATCGGCACGTTATTAACGTATGCAAGTAGACTCTTTAGTCGCTTATTTATGAAGCATTCTGAAAGGCTATTAGCACGAGGGTATTATCATAAATTTGAATCGTGGTCACTTGACTCGGATGAACATCTGAGCTGGCCCTCCCAACGTGATAACTTTGAGCGTCCACCCACATTTTACTCCTTTTTTTGAGACAACAAAACCCAAGATTCGATAGAAACAACGTCAGCCATAAGTTCACGACAATAACCACTCGGACATCTTTATTTTTGGCACAATAATAGAAATACACAAATAATAGTCAATATCCTAAGCTATAATAACAAATGCATATATTTAATGTGTACGGAATGTAAAATAAAATATAATTTGTTGAAATTACGACATTGAATTGTTCCTATCGCGACTACAAAAACGTGGGATTCCGAATGACTCGAGTGATATTTCTACAATGCATCGGCGTCTTAAGACTCTTTGAGGCCCTTGGCCCAAAGAAGTCTTAATTTTGAGCAAAAATTAAGACTTCCCCTTTGCAATAGTAGGCCCTTCCTGAGATCTTTAAAAGAAGACAGTATATATAGCATGCATTGTCAAACATTCGTTCAAACGGTGATTTAAAACAAATAAATGCGCACGACTCACAAACCTCAAAATCCTACTCACAAACTGGCTTGACCGATAACCGCATTTCGAGTCAATGAGTTCATGGTATTAGGCCTAGACATGGACGACCGTCATCATGTACAGTCTTACCACTTTTACCAATTGACATGCAGATTGAAATTCCCTGTTTTTCGGAGAATATGCACGGGAATAATATTTGACCTCATTAAAATTATCCGGATCATAATTTTACTAAGATAGAATCAAGAAAGAAACGAGGCCCCATCGAGGACGAGGCCCTGAGTCCGGTCCCCGTTTGGCCTTTGTCTTACGAAGTCCCTGCTACAATGCATTACGGATAAGATTGAGATTACATAAACAATGACCAAATAAGATTATAATTTCTTAACGAGAGTTCTAGAGAGTTCCGTGGATGGAATAATAGTGTGTGTGTGTTGTGAAATCCATTTCACTAATACGTTCAGAATAAGCTGTCTCCGCTTCAGTATATTCCATTCGATTGTTTCTAACAATATAAGCAAATAAAATGATTCAAATATGTTTTTCTTAATTGTCTATAATTGTGCTGTTTCCATTTATTTAATTTTTTCGTATTGTGCGCTTTTTACATCATTGATTCCTCGCAAAGAAAGATACAGGAAGAGTTAAATTCCTGCTCAAGACCTACATCATTCTTGCTTTAATCCAATAAAGAAAAATAAGCTTCCTTTTTTTAAAAAAAAATTCTATTTGAAGCGTCGTATTAGCATCGGCAATATTCTGTTACAAAATGGAAGTGACTGAAGTAATGATAGAATAATCTCGACTTGCTAAATCTGCGAAATATCTAATCGTGTGTCAATGTGTTCATCAATAAAACTCTTTTTGTGCCTTTCTATTCGATTTTGTGTGGTCGGAAAATGTGTTGTTTAGAATTACTGACGCACTGCTTAATTGTTTAATAACGAAATGGTACCAGGTCAGTGGCACACACAAGGGGTTCCCGAGTCCTGAACACCCCCCCCCCAAAGCTCTTGATTTTTTCCCGATTGATTATAACCCTATGTATAATTGTACGTACAATATAATTATTTGTGATTAATAATTAATTGTATTAATTATAATGATAATTATTTATTCCATAATTGTTACTGTTTTTTTTTGTTCCTGAATCAACAAAATAAAAAAAAAAATAAAAAATTGTGTGGCGTGTTGGAGCATGATACGAAAATAGTGGAAATCTGACCCTGAACCTCCCCGCTTGAAAAATTCCTATGTGCGCCACTGTACCAGGTGTATTGAACTTTAAACCAAGATCAAGTGACGACATCTGAGCAGAAAACCCATTTCACAGAATTCCTCTGTATGCCAATGGGAGGACTATGAGCCTAGTGAGATTTAACATGCTCCTCTACACAGCGGCTCTTTAGTGGAACCCACTACTCGGCAAAAGCATCGGTGACTCAAAATTCGTGACCGTGACTGTTGTTGTTGCTATCTCTTGCTGGTGTACATATGAAAGACGAACAGAAACATACAGTGCGATCACACAGAAGAATATAAACTTTTTATTACAGAAACGATGATTTAGCATAAACAGAAGGGGTGCGCTGCTTTCCATTCAAGACGGGAATTCATTACAGGCGAAAGCCCGACTTCTTTTCCCGGAAAATACATCAATGCCTTATTCGGGATTCGAACCCGAGCCCACTCGGTTACAAGCCGAGGGACATATCCACCCTACTGGCTGGGCGGCACCGGGACTCTTAAGAAACTTATAAGAAATTCAAAGATGAAAGTCAGAAAAAAAAAGCCCTCTTACATGTTTTTGTTACGAACCCAAGACTTAGGGATAAAAGGTAAAACGCGTTGAAATGGTTGCGTTTTACGAAGTAAAATGTATCTGGCAAACATATTACAACAAATGTGTAAACGTAAATAGTAAATGGTTCACAGGTCCCAGAAAAGCAGAATCTACAGCAAGCGCATTTTTAATCGATGTTTTTTGAGGAAAAGATTCTATTTTTCAGTTCTGAATAGTTAATAATATATTAATAACAGAAATAATTAAATATATAGTGTAAGCTCACAGTTTTAGTATCACATTCAGGTACGTTCCAGCTTCTTTCATATTTTGAGTCTGCTTCGTTATTTTATATCATGCTCAAGTGGCGCAGACCGTATTTGAGCTGGCAACTCATTCTCCAAACTACCTCACCAAGCCAACATAGGTAATTTGGGTCCAGGCAGGTTTAAAGCTCATCGGCCCCTCTAATCGACAGTTCTTTAATGGGCTCGAATACACGGTTCAACTCGCCGGCCGCTAGCTTCATAATAAGACAGTTACTGAGTTCACTTGAATCAAGGATGTTCCTCTAGTCAACTCAAGGATGTTGTAATTTTGAGCCACGAATGAATGAGGTAAATTGGATTTATTTCAGCGGTATCATCCTCTCATAAGGCTCCCGCTGACACACCACCACGAAATCCCGAGCGCTAGAAAACTAATAGTGTTTTATGAGCAAATAGCTCTTATGAATCCGAAAGATGAGTTTCGGGGACAATCTGAACAAAAATATAAAATTTTCTTCGGAATTTTGGAAGATATTTTTTTAAATTGGTTTTAGTTTAAAATGATGATGATAAAAAGAAAATGAAAATATTCACAAAGTTGTATTGAAAAAAGCGAGAAGTTTTAAATCAATTTTTTAAAAACCTTAAAGAAAGCTTATTTCTTCATCATTGTGAAGATAACAAAATCATTGAGATATGCGATGCAGAATTAAGTTTTATTTATTCTGTTCTTTATACATTAAGGATGCACTCAGTATTTCACCTCAGGTGCTTCCGGAAATAGTATTCTATAAGTGTGGATCATGTTCTCTGCAAAAGATTATATATATTTTAAATAATCTTTGAAATAGTCATTGAGATGAAGCATATAACATTTGAAAATAAAGTTTGCCTTGGTTACCCTAAAAATAAAAATAAATAAATAAAAAAGAGCACAATCGTCCCAGTTTTTCCTCCTTTTCGACGATAAGTAAATAAGTGACGCGCTCTATCCTTTGTTTATTAGTATCTCCGTCACCTGCTGCTATCACACCCTCCCCTCCTCTCTCAGGGGGTCGCAGATAATGGGGTAGTAAGTGGCGTACTTATCCTCGACCGCGGCGGGCGCCCGCTATTCATACGTCTGCACCTGGTGCTACTCCCTCCCCACCATTTGATGTAGACACGAAGGGGAGGGGGCGAAAGCTTGCTGTTCTCTTTTTAAATTCTATTCAAAAATAATTCGAAGCATATTAACGTGTGAAGACATTGAGGGACAATCGAGCATTTCAAAAAAGAGATGCAATATTTCCCCAATTTTTAAAAAATTACTTCGTTTCTGAGAATAACTTTGTTTTATACGTCTTTCCATCACTAGTTTTGTTGGGCACAATTATTTTCCTTCTTTTTTTTCATGTGTCTCCGTTAAGATTACAAAAATAGAACCGAAACGAAACAATATATATTGGCTAGTTACTGTTTGATTCGACTCATTTTTCACACCGCATATGAATTTTTTCTTTACTTTGAAATACTTAAATACCAGTTTAAATTTTATGTTAACATTAAAAAAAATTTCGTGTAATTTCTAACTGTTTTTAAATTATTACTAACTCAGTACATAAGCAAAAAGACTATAGCACTGTAAGGGAGTGAAAGTTAAATTAAAGACGCTCTATAAAGCTACACGAGGGCTACTGATAACGAACGTCGTAATTTTAAACCTGGGTCAAGCAACGAGGACGACACCTGAGCTGTCACAATTTCTCCTTACTTCCACACCACATCAACGGGAGGACGCTTGAGCGTCAAAGATTTAACGTGCACCCTCTACACAGTCTGTTGTATTGGGTTCTGACTCATGACACATCAGCCACGAGTCCATGAGCATGCACACTATGCTATCGTGGCCACATTTTTCTATTCGAAAAAATATTCCGATTTTGAGAATATATCCTTTGATTATGAAATATATCCTTTCGACAGCAGTCAAAGGCAATATAAAACCTTCATACTATTAGCTATTCAGACTATTTTCGCGGCAGTTTTCTAAAGGAATCATTTAAAAAGAGATTGCAGTGATCCGCATTATGAAAAATATTTTTTGAACGTAATCAATTTTTCAAAGAAGCTCATTTTTTTTTCCGGCATTAAATTTCTCCCTCATTTTTAAAGCTTTTTATTTGATTGCATTTATTCAATAAATTAAAATTAAATATTATTTAATTTATACATAATAACACGGAAAATTTTTTTACTTTTTTAATATATATATATATATATATATATATCTTTGAGCAAACATAATTGAATCTGTTCTTGAATCATTCAAATAACTGAGTCTGGCCATGTTTTATAACCTCATACGACCGGCGGCCACTAAAAAATTCATTTCACGCCGAATCAGGTATTAAATTCTATAAATGCTGACAAATCAGACAGCAAACTCTTAGTTGAGTTTTTGAGTTTTTCATCCAATTTTAAAAGAAAAATATTACATTTAAAATTTTCAGTGTGCCTTTTTGAGTTTCCCGAATTTTGGGTAAATATTTGTAAATGAAATGATCACAGAAATTTAAATTTTGAGTCAGTGAGAGAGTAGAGAAGAGGGCTCATTAAATCCCCACTCTAAAGCATCACGAGGACTATTGACGACGGACCTCCTAATTTTTCACCACGGTCAAGTGGCGAGTTCGACACCTGAACTACCACAACCTTCTCCAAACTACCACACTACACCAAAGGAAGGAGTTTGAGACACTACAAATTTAGCAAGCATCGATCCCTCAAGACGGCGGGCCTTCAGTAGCGTTAGTTCAGTTTTATTGCGATCCATGCCCCCATTTTCCGTCAGGTTATCTTAAGAAATTACAACCATAAAAGCAGCCTTTTTAAAATAAGGAATCATTATTACCCACGACAAAATAAACCAAATATCTGGCACAAGCAAAAGCCTAATGCTTCTGTTCAACGTACGCTTTTTAATAAATAATAGGTAACATGTAGAAGATGGAAACTGGCTGCATCATGAAAAAAAAATTATTCTATTCAATAGATAACACGAAAATGGAAGAATCGATTCATTCGTGTAGATACATTAGAGTTTTATAACCGTTTTAATAATAAAAATATAAGCAATTTATGAAAAGAATAAAGTCCATATATTTCACCTCTATACTCAAATGTAAACTTTCAAAATATAACGTTAAAATGATTTGAAATCCATTAAACATCTTGCTGTAATACATTTTTTAAATAAGTTATATTAGTTTAAAATTTTAATCGCATGAGTTTTTTCTTTATTTCATTATCACGAAATGCAAATTTCCTTCCGCGTTCAAAAGCTTAAAACCTATATTTTGACAAATTTTATCGCGATTTCTTGTTAAAAGGATTGGACCTTGAATTTGGACCGAATTATTCGTGATTCCATGTGAAAGAATAGACGACTGCCTTACGGAGCGATTGAAACTTTTCCCTAAAACCATTTCCATAGTTTCTAAGAAGGAGCAATGCTTCTCTTCTGTAGAACACGGGATTATATTCTTCCCGCTTTGAATGTAGGAAAGTGCAATTCCATCCCTTCTCTGTTGCTCGGCGCTTGAGCGGACTCAACCTCTGTAATTGCCGCGACGACGAGATCCGAACTGACTTACGCGATCCCGCAGTTACGCGTTTCACAAGTCTCGTCTTTCGTCAGAGTGCCACACAATTCAATGACTCAATCTCTGCTTCATGTACATGCTCGGACGTATCACGCGGAATCACTACTTGGCCATAACAATTTATTCTGTGGGATTTATTTCTTATCTACGGAATGTGTGTTTGTTGTTACACACCACACCAGCGGGAGGACGTTTGAGCTCTCGGCAAATTTAACCTACATCGCTCCCCTACACGGCGGGTCTTTAGTGGTACTGGGCTCGAACAATGAAATTTCACAAAAACCCTTAAATGGCGCCTGGAAAAAGAACTGCCTTTTTTTCATCACTGAAACTGAGGCGAAATCAGTGCCAGAACCTGATGAATTAGGTAATGTGATTAAAGAATGTATCGATTTTACCAGGGAAACAAACCAGTAATGACCAGGGAACAGTAGCGCACACAAACATTTTTTCAAGTGGAGAGTCCATGATCGAAAGCTCCCCAATTACCTCAACACAACACCTATTGATTCGTCTCATTTTCTCCATTTTGTTGACAAAAAACAGTAAAAAATAAATTATTGAATTAATAATTAGCATTAATTAGTAAAATAGATTCTTCATTACAAGTACTTCCTTATATATGTTTTTGCTGTTGTTGCTTATACCACCTGACCGACAGTAACATCAAATCAAGGTCCACGAAATTCATCGCGGCTAAGGGCTAGAATTTTACGCCTGTCGTTAGCTTAAGCTATGAGCCCCATGAAGGTGACAGTACGATTTTGCTCGGTACAACACGATAGATGGCGGCACCCATCGGACCCACTGATTTAACGAGCACGTACTTCGTGTGTACTCGGCGAGTATTTGTTGGCGTCCGATGCTCTAACCACCAGGCTACCCACGGCCCACGTTATATATAAATAGGATTATCATCAATCGAAAAATCTCAAGGGCTTTGGGGGGCTTCCGGACCCCCAGGATAACCCCCCTTGTGTGTGCCACTGCCAGGGAATGAAGTTCAGGAACTGCTGAATTCCCACCATCAGGCACAGCC